GCTGTAAAATCAGGAACAAAAACAAAGTTGCTGGAAAAGCTCAGCAGGTCTGGCAGCATCTGTGAAGGAAAAACCGGTTAATGTTTCAGGTCTGACAACCCTTCCTCAGAACTGATGTTAGCTGGGAAAACGTCAGTTTATATGCAGAATAAAGGGATGGGGGTGGAGTAGGCAGTAAACGATAGGATAGAGCCTAGAGAGAAGAGCAGTTGGACAAAGTTGATAACGACATCAACTCTTTGCCCAACTGCTCTTCTCTCTCTTTAGGCTCTATCCTATCGTTTACTGCCTACCCCACCCCCCCTCCCTTTATTCTGCATATAAACTGATGTTTTCGCAGCCAACATCAGTTCTGAGGAAGGGTCACTGGACCCAAAAAAGCTAATTTTTTTTTCTTCACAGATGCTGCCAGACTTGCTGAGCTTTTCCAGCGACTTTGTTTCTGTTCCTCTCTGCTTCTTTGGCCAATATTCATCGATAAGCCTCGACACTGGTGGTGACTTGTTATGCAACTACATAAGGAACCACCAATGAGCCTGATTCTGTCCTGATCAGAGTTCCACGCACACATGCAGCACAGGTCACCAAACAACGATCAGAGGAAACAATCTGATCAACTTTCTTACTCTTATACAAGGCAAAATCCACAAATTCAACAAAGATTTGCAATCAAGCCCAGGATGTGCTCAATTTCAAAGGTCAAGGGATGACAAATCGGAGAAATTAAAGAAAAACCACAGTGTTTTGGCAAGTGATAAGGCTGGAAATATCTGTGATAATCCTCAATAAATGATACTTGTAAAAGGTAAGACTCAAAGCAAAGATGGACTTGTACAGGATTTTAACACCTGAGAGAGAAAACAGATCTCTGGACTTGCGCAATCACTTTTATAAGGAGGACAGAGGGGAGGCACAGCTGGTCAAAATTTGTTGCTGGGATCACAGATGGAAAATTAAACCACTGCCACTGAAAGAAAAGTGTTGTTTAAAAAGAGACAACATCTTTTCGATGACTGAAGTAAACAAAGCAACATGGGGCTCTGATCTGTATCAATCCCTGTGGGTGTGGGCTGCGATGAAACCTTTGGCAATACGACAAGCCCTGCCAAACCTGCGTTATTAAAATTAAATACCAGGGACAGTGGGTTTTAAATTTTAAAATGGACCTTCACCGACGAGAACCGAAAGCAAAACCTTTGACGCAGAAACATTTTGTTCACTCCCCTCCCCCCCCCAAAATTCTGTGGAAGGAGGGTCGAGCTCGCACATTCCCGTCAACGTTGTGATGAT